AAAGTGTTATCTTTGATAGATTTGGTTAACTGAGTTGCCCAGGACTTAACCTTGCTCATTAGACTGTGCGATAAATGCTTTATTAGCACGCACTCCCCTTAAATTTTGCTCCTTGTAAATTCCAAATGCGCTGTTGGGCGCATTCTTGCGTATGTTGGGCGCTATTAAGAATGAACGCAAATTAGGCTCACAAAAATATCTTATAGAGAGTATATTTGCGAATAGGTACGTGATCCTTTTTTAAAAATTCTCCATTTTATTTTCCATTTGAGGCGCACAGTGGATTCCGTTGGATTACTATCGCAAAGGTGCTAAGGCTTATGTTTGGAGTCTATAATCTCGCAGTGTGGTCCAATTTTTTTTAATCGATCACTTTATTTTGAGATGATGGGATGTTGCACTATTATGGTTGTCTATACATGCATAGCAAATGATGATGTCAGCAGGGCAAGATTGGCTCACACCAGAGCAATCGCCCTTGGCGCATTGGGACGGCCGAGCAAAGGATGAGACTGGTGGTTTATTTTTAATCGGAGCCAAGAGGGCTTTACAATAACATTCCACTTATGTATTCGCCTTGGATTATAACCAAGATTGAGGTCTGTTAAGGACCAAACATGATGTTAGTACCACGTTTTCCCATGGTTTCGTGCCCTGTTATGATAGCAGATGCAGACAGCTAATCTCGGCGCCTTAGAGGCGAGCAAATAGAGAATTCGGTTAAGCGCGCTAGAAAGCGACTAGACTAAATATCTGACTGTTCTGTCAATCGAGTATGACGTCACTCTTTATGGAAGAGTTACCTCCACCGTAGCATGTATTCTACTATATGTGCTGTGCGGACCGCGAAGTAATGAGGTGAGAGAATGGATCCTGCTTTCCTACCTGTGAATCATTACGTTGCCATTATTGATATGACTTTCATTGAGTACCCTTTTGTGACTTTTGAACTATGTCTAAGGTAAGGGGTTGTGTTTCTGTACTTTGTATTTAGCCCGGTCATTGCATTGATATCGGCCTTAAGGACATCACTGGGAAGCGGTCATCCTAACTAAATGCAGCCATGAGTGCAAAGGGAAGATTCATCTAGTATTACACCACTGTTTATATCTCACTGCCGGCACTCACATCGCTCTGTTATGAGAGGCGAATGGTGTGAACTATATTCAAGAATTGAGAGGGTCAAACTGCTCTTTTTGAGGATTAGAGATGTTTTTTGGACCGGCATGTATTAGTATGGGATCTGGCGGTATTATGAGACACTATTTCTTTCTTTTTGCGGTGATGTCTCTATGCTGGCTCATTTGAGTTTTCTAGTATGAGTCCCACATGCAGGTGTTCTCGAGCAGTCGCACGTGCAGTGGCTAGTATGAGATTGTTCGGTGTTTTTGGGGAGATGAGATACGAACGTACCGGCCAGTGTCCATGCCAACTCAATGCAGTGCGGACACCATTTCCCCTATATATATATATATAAAATATTATACAAATTAATATTATATATTATATAAATATTTGATAATTAATTATAATATTCTTCAATTTATTTAAAATCGTATAATTCACACTTTATCAATCCGTCATTTAATTAAGGGTAAATTATAAATACATCTCTTGAGTTTTGTTTAAAATATGAATTATTTCCTATGGTTTGAAAAATTACAAATACCTCCCTGTCAGAATTTTTTGTTTAATAGAATTAATTGAAAAAGTAAAATTTCTAACTGTTCACCTATACAATAATAAATTATTTAAATTATTAATTAAAATAAAATTTTAACATTATTAAAAATTATTAATTAACTTAATAATTTATTAATAAAATGATATATTTATTGTGAAGTTAAAAATTTTAAAATATATAATATAATTTTTAAAATAATTTATAATTTAAATAAACTGTGTGTTTGTAATTTACCGTTTAATTAATAATTTTATTTTAAAACCGTCGCGCTCACCCGTAAGCGAAAGGCATCTGTTGTAGGAGATGCTCTCTAATGTAAACGTGTGTCTGTGAAATCACAATAAAAACAAAGAAAAACAGGGTGGTGAGGTGAGTTTGTTGGTTGAGTGTTGTATTGTATGGTCCGAAACAACTGAGAACTGGCTACGAAGATAGCAAACGGAGTCGGAGTAGGACTCGGAATCTGAGCAGCAGCGAATGAAGATGACCACCGCTCCTTCCACTCTCTCCAACGCTCTCCCTCTTCCCACTCCAAACAGTGCCATCTTACTCCGATCCGCCAGGCCGACTCTCCGACGCTCCCCCTCCATTCGCGTCGCTCGAACTCACCACGCCTTCACTCGCTCTTCTCCTTCCGCAATTCGACTCAGAGCCTCCTCCTCCTCCCCTTCCTCTTCCTCAGATGATCTCCCTAGCTCCTCAGGTTACTCTCTCTCTCTCTCTCTCTCTCTCTTATATGTATGTATGTTTGTATGTATTCAACTCTCTTCCTCTCTTGCACTTTGTTTGGTTTGAGTGATTCGGAGAGAAAAGAAATGAAATGGAGAGAAATGGGTGTTAATCACTTTTTTCGATTACCCAATAGGAGAGAAATGGGTTTTAATAACTTGTTTGTATCTATATCTATATATATAGTTAGGTGTTTTCCTATGGAATTTGAATTTTGTGCATTTTTGTTTGCTCCTATCTAATATTTCTGAGAAATTATTCAGTGCTGCTGGAGCAAATACATGTGAGCTTCTAATAATTATTCAATTTTAGATTTTAGATTTCACTCTAGAATTCTCATCACTTCTCTTTCAAATTTTATGACTTTCATTTGGCTTGTATCTCTTCAATGTGGCATTTGGTTTGGGGGTTTGAGAAGAATGTCGTACACTGGTAGAAAGTGATCCAAGAAAATTCAGTGAGTTTTTTTGGGGGGAAAATGCCCTATATATAAAGATAGCTGGTGGTCAAATAATGAAATACAAGCTTAGTAGAAACATAAAGTCATGTTTTAAAAAAGTTGCAAAAAGGATAGAAATGAATATTTTTTAAAAGAGATATAGGTTTAAAGGACAACTAGAGAAGCTAAGTTAAAAACTTACGAACTTTATGCTAAATTTGTTAGAAAATAAGGAGAAAACAACATTTTTTACACTTTATAAATTGAAAGGAAAACAAGAGGTTTTAAGTAGGTTAATACTCTGTTTGGGATTTGGAAAGGGAAAGGGAAAGGGAAAGGAAAAAGGAAAGGGAAAAGGTGTGTGAAACTAGGTGAAATATAGGTATGTTTTATTTACATTTCACCTACCATTTCCATTTCCATTTCCATTTCCATTTCCATTTCTAAATCCCTACTCAAATCCCCTAACCAAACACAGCATAAGTGTATAAAAGGTGAGGATTTGGGGTATTATCTATGACGCATGAGTTCTTCGACAAACATGCGATTTACTTACCTAGTACAGGTATTTGCATGCTACTTCCGCATATCTAACGGATGCACGCGACACATACTCAAATTTCTACTTCTTAATTTTTGTCGTATCCAAAGTTACCTAATATATATCCAAGCCGTACTTCAGCCAGAATAATATTTTCTTCTATATGGAGGTGAAGTTAGTTTCTTTAACAATGCAGCTCTGAGTTTTGAGTTGTTCGTCCCACACTTAGGGTTGAGTTTTGAGTTTCTTCCACAGTTTAGGTTTTCTCAACGAATTCCACCCGAAGACTGTCCCTTTCCTTCCTGTAGGTCTTTATTTTAATATTCAAATTTAATCCACCCTTTTTTTAGTTTTAGACACTCTTCGTAAACATTTTGGATTGACTCATCAGTCTCTCCATTAGATTTACCCTCAACTTGCTCACATTCCTGACAATCTCAGACGTTGCCACTTCATCTACTTCATTGGCTTCAGGGTCAAAACACCCAAAAGGATTTACAGTAGCTACTACTAAAACTGTGTAATTTGCATAGTTCTCATCGGACTGACTCTGCTCACTATTATTATTCCCTCTCATCATCTTAAGTAGCTTTTAGGCCTTCACGTTTTGTTTGCTTATTACCACAATCAGCTTGATATGACCAAAACAATGACACTAATGACATTGAATTCCCTATTTTTAGGTTTCAGTTGAAAACACTTTCTATTTTTTCTCATCTGACCTGACTTTTGATAGCCCCCAGATTTTTTAAACTGATTTTGATTGTTTCCCTTTTTCAATCTCATATATCTTTTGAATGTTTTAGTAAAAAAGGGCAAAGTCTTCCTCATCTTCAATTCTCTCTACTTCAGTCTCATGTTCATCTTACTTAACAAAATTTAGGGCTATTCCTTTGTCTGAGGATTTTTTAGGACACATGTTTAATTCATAAGTTTGCAAAGACGCATCTAACTCTTCTATCCAGGGCGGGCCCTGAGGAAAGGCTGGCAAGATGGCCACCTTGGGACCCTGAATTCTGTCTAAAAAATAAGGTCACCAGATAATTTTAGTTCTTATCTTATGTGTGGTGCATTAAAATGAAGTAAAATGAAATAATCATTTCATCATAATATCTATTCTCACATTTGGTTCACTAAAAAACGATAAAAAATATATTACAAATGGAATCATCATTCACTAATGTGAGGGAATACTTTTGTCCATTGGTTTAGTCACTACCACGTGATAATGGACATAATTTGTTTTGTTAGTTTGCATTGACGTTTATAACGAGTAGTTTTGTTTTTTACCACATAACTGTTTATATATTCTGATTTATTTTCAAATTCAATGCTCTCAACAAGTGCTGTTGTCTTATTCTTGCATTTGATGCGAGCTTCATTCATTTTGAAAGAGATTGTATAATAATATAATAGTTTGTGATGGTTTTGTTTAATCTTGTTTCATGCAGTAATTATCTTTGTTCGGATTGAATCACCATTCATAATCACTTTTAGTATTTGGCTTGTGAATATTGTGGAAAAATATGGAGTTCAAAATGGAATTAATATTTTTCTTTTTGCAGATCAAGGTGTTGAGAATGTGGTCATTATAGGTTCAGGTCCTGCTGGATACACAGCAGCAATTTATGCAGCTCGTGCCAACTTGAAGCCTGTTGTGTTCGAGGGGTATCAAGTGGGTGGTGTTCCTGGTGGACAATTAATGACCACCACTGAAGTGGAAAACTTCCCAGGGTTTCCAGATGGAATAACTGGTCCTGATTTGATGGACCGGTAAATCAAAAAATTTGAAATTAGCTTTTTGGATTTCATTTTATTCGCATGTGTTTTTTGTGTGGGGTGCAACAAACTTGACTATAATTAATCAATAAATTTTACATTGACTTGCTGACTAGGATGCGACGGCAAGCTGAACGCTGGGGAGCAGAATTATTCCAAGAAGATGTAGAATTTGTTGATGTGAAGAACAGTCCTTTTACTGTCCAAAGTAGTGAACGTAAGGTGATGTTTAATTTTTGTGGCATGTAGTTTCTATTTAATTTATATAATCAAATGGTTACCTAAGTATGTAATCTTGCTATTCTATCTCATAGAAATACATTTACCTTGACTTGAACTGTTGCTTCGATGCTTTCAATTTGCCTTGAATGACCTTGCTATGTTGTGATTAAATGAATTTTTGGAAAAATGTAGCACCTACATATTAGGGCTGCTTGTTGGTTAGAAGTCTTCATATTTCTTATTCTTGCTGACAATTAATTAAGTCAATTTATGAATTTAGTAAATATGTTTCTAGTTTTTATGACTACAAATTCATATTTTTGGTGTTTTCTACTTTTTGTCAGGATTTGAATGTTCTATGAATCCCGCTTTGAGTAGGTTTTAGGAGTCTTTCTTGCGTGCAATCCAGCCCATCAGTAGCTTGATACATGTAGTTATAGTTCAAGTCCTATTTGATAACACTTTGGAATGGGCCACAGCCATGCTTTAGAAGGTCTATGTGACTTTTTAATGTTTCAAGTATCGACCAATAATTACCTTTGCTGCAAAAAAGAGATTGGGGGGAGGGGGGGGGGGTGTTAAATAACGTTTTTGAAACACTGTTATTCTCTCTCTCTCACACACACACACACATTAATCTTAAATTTTATTGCATAATGCCTCAAGTAGTCTTCACATAAAATTCTTAATTTGCCTCTTTTCCTGTGAGCATGTGATGTGTGGATAGAATTAGAAAACTTGGGTCAAAGCCGCCTACAGTAGTTACTGTGGTGGGTTTTTGTTAGGGTAAGGATTTTATGAGAGAAGAAAGTTTATGAGGTTCATAGATGTAAATGTGAGAATATGTGTTCTCCTAGGACTAGGAATAAGTGTCCTATATCTATTAGACTTCTATATATCTTAGTGATGTATTCATGTAGGATTAGGAATTAGTGGTACTCTATATAAATAATGTATATATTCTTTGTTCAATCAATTCAATCTAAGATACAGTTTTGTTTAGAAAACTTACATGGTATCAGAGCTAGGTTCGAAACCCTAGCCCTCTCTGGTTCGACTGGTTTGTCACCATCGGAGTCGCGACTTTTCTCTCTCCAGACTCGCGAGGGTTCTAAACCCTAGCCCTCTCTGGTTCGTCTCGCGAAGGCCTCTCTCTTCCTCGCGATCTCTGTCTGAATCGATTCGCAACCATCTACTTTGGCTCTCTGGTTAATTTGGTTCGTCTGCCTCTGTGCTTCACGATCTCTGTCTGAGATCTTCGCGAGCTCCGTCTGAAGATTGATCTTAGCTTTAGTGTTCGTTTTCCTTTGTGCTTCGCGATCTCTGTCTGAGATCTTCGCGAGCTCCGTCTGAAGATTGATCTCAGCTTCAGTCTCTCTCTCTCTCTCTCTCTCTCTCTCTCTGCTTTGCGATCTCTGTGCTTCAACTTGGTTATTTCTATTTAAGACCCTATTTCAGGAATATTGCACTCAAGCCCCATATTTGTTTGTTTATTACAAACTTTGTTTTATTACAATGTCGGATACTAAAATCCAAGCCATCAAATGTAAACTAACTGGTGGAAATTATGCCTATTGGGCCAGTGTCATGAAGAATTTTCTTCTTGGTAAAAAAAAATGGGGCTATGTTTCTGGTTTTGCTCCTCGTCCATCGGACCCGAAGATAGAAGGGTATCTGTCTTCCTGTGACACTTGGGATTGTGATAATGCCCAAGTTTTAACATGGTTTCATAATTCTGTGGATGACCGTATTGGAATGATGTTTTCCAAGTACAGTACTGCCAAGGAAGTGTGGGATTATTTACTCTGTGTTTATCAGCAGTCCAACTTTGCCAAACGGTATGAGTTGGAAACAACTATTCAGAGTGCTCGTCAGCGGGATCAAACTATTCAGGACTTTTATATTGAGATGACAGGTCTCTGGGATTAGTTGGTTCTTATGGAACCACCTAGTCTCAAGATACTAGACGCTTATATTGAGTTTCGGGAACAAAGTCATTTAGTCCAGTTCTTAACAGCTCTCTCCCCTCAGTATGAGGCTATTCGAGGTGGCACCGATCTCCTCTTCCCTCTGTGGATGCTATTGTTCGTGAACTCCTATTCGAGGAAACCCGTCTTAAGATGGCCAGTCAGACTTTGCCTCCTTCTGTGTTCTTGGCTCCTGCCAAACCGCCCTTGTTATCGACCCCTCCTCCTCATCAGCTTCAGGCCACTGCGAAACCCAAGAGAGGACCATTAGGGCCAGATGAGTATGCTTTCTGCCATCAGAGGGGCCATTGGAAGAACAATTGTCCCAAGAAAGGACGTCAGCTTGCTCTGTCTTCTCAAACACAGTTCCACGGTCCTACATCGGTTACTTTCTGACCTCCTACTGCTTATATTGTTTCTACTACGGCTCCCGATCCTGACTTGGCTTCCTTGCGTGCTCAGGTTGCACAACTTCAGCATATCCTGTCCACTACTCAGCCATCGCCATCTGCTTCCGCTCTTACCTCCCTTCATTCAGGTTTGCTTGGGTCCTCTTCAGGTATCCCTTCTTCTGTCTGGCTTTTTGATTCTGGTGCCTCTTATCATATGACTCCTCACTTTTCCTTACTTCAAAACTGTATTCCCCCACCAGTTCCTATTACTATTAATACTGCTAATGGGTGTGGTATGTCTGTTTTGTCTATTGGGTCTGTCTTACCATCCGTCATGTCTGCTGTTACTATTCCTTCTGTTCTTTACGTCTCTCAGTTATCTGTCAGTTTATTATCTATCGGTTAACTTGATGCGTCTGGTTTTGATGTTATTTTTTCCTCTTCTATTTGTTGTGTACAGGATCGGGTGACCAAGAAGCAGATTGGGACCGGCCGTAGAGTTGGAGATCTCTATGTGGTTGAAAGCTTGCATCTCCCCTTATCTACCTCTCCAGCTGCACTTTCCTCGTTTCAATTAGATTCTCAATCGAGTCAGTTTTACTTATGGCATTCTCGGCTTGGTCATTTATCTGTTGACTGCTTACGGTCTTTAGCTCAATCAGGATTGTTGGGTAAAGTTTCTCCTAGTCAAATTGATGAATGTCGGGGGTGTAAACTTGCCAAAATGTTAGCTTTACCTTTTAATAAAAGTATATCTATTTCTGTTTCTCCTTTCTCTCTTGTGCATACTGATGTCTGGGGACCCTCTCCTGTTCTTACTAAAGGGGGTTCAATATACTATGTGTCTTTTTTTATGATTGCACCCGTTACACGTGGGTTTATCTTATGACTCATAAGTCTGACTTCTACCAGATATATCGTACTTTCCAATCTATGGTCACTACACAGTTTGGATCTACTATTAAAGTGTTGCGGTCTGACTTGGGTGGGGAATACTTTAAAAATGAATTCTGTGAATATTTGGCCAACTTGGGTATCATTCACCAAACTTCTTGTACTGATACACCTGCCCAAAATGGCCGAGTTGAGCGTAAACACCGTCATCTTCTTGAGACAACTAGGTCTCTTCTTCTCTCTGCCTCCGTTCCAGCTCTGTTTTGGGGTGAGGCAGTTCTTACTGGTGCTTTTCTTCTCAACCGTATGCTTACCCCTCTTCTTTCTGGTCGGTCTCCTTATGAGGCTCTATTTTCTCAACTTCCTAATTACTCCCTCCTTCGTGTGTTTGAGTCTGCGTGTTTTGTCCTTTTACCCCGTAAAGATAGGACTAAACTTAGTGCCCGGTCTGTCCTATGTGTTTTTTTGGGATATAGTCTCACTCAAAAAGGTTATCGCTCTTATGACCCTGTTTCTCGTCGCCTGTATGTCTTCCGTCATGTTGCCTTTCTCAAACGTCTATCTTACTTTCAGTTTCCTCCTCTCACCGCCCCAGTTTCCAAAGAGGATTTGGTTTATATTGATCCATTTCCTTCTGAGGTCCCATCTGATGAGTACATCTCCACAGTTCCTCCTGAGCTTATTCCATCTCCTCCTCCTGCTTCACCTCTGACTACTTCTCCTCCTTCTTCTCCTCCTCCGTTGTTAGTTTATTCTCGACGCAAAGCTCCTCTACTAGATGTCTCTACCCCTGCTGCTGATCCTCCTGCTTCTGACGACTCTACTTTCAGCTTCCTCCTCTCACCGCCCCAGTTTCCAAAGAGGATTTGGTTTATATTGATCCATTTCCTTCTGAGGTCCCATCTGATGAGTACATCTCCACAGTTCCTCCTGAGCTTATTCCATCTTCTCCTCCTGCTTCACCTCTGACTACTTCTCCTCCTTCTCCTCCTCCGTTGTTAGTTTATTATCGACGCAAAGCTCCTCCTCTACTAGATGTCTCTACCCCTGCTGCTGGTCCTCCTGCTTCTGACGACTCTGATCCTACTACACACCGATATCCTCCACGAGCTCGTCATCCTCCAAAAAGGTTGGGTTGGTCTAATACTTGTTTTTTTGCTTCCTATCGTACCTTTTTGTCTACTATTCACTCTTTTGTAGAACCTCAGTCTTATAAGGAGGCCTGTCAGGATCCTCATTGGGTTCAAGCTATGGAGGATGAGTTGTTTGCTCTACAGAAAACTAGTACTTAGGAGTTGGTTCCTTTACCTGCTGGTAAGAATCTGGTTGATTGCAAATGGGTCTACAAAGTCAAGACTCATTTTGATGGTTCTCTTGAGCGCTACAAAGCTTGTCTAGTGGCCAAAGGTTTCTCCCAGGAGTATGGTATTGATTATGAGGAGACATTTGCTCCTGTTGCCAAGATGACTACTGTCCGTACTTTGATATCTGTCGCTGCTGTTCATTCTTGGCCTCTATCAGATGGATGTTAAGAATGCTTTTCTTAATGGCCATCTCACTGAGAAGGCTTACATGCGTCCTCCCCCTGGTCTTCACCATTCCTCTGGCCAAGTCTGTCGTCTTCGGCGTGCTCTATATGGTCTGAAGCAGTCTCCTCGTGGTTGATATGATCGCTTTCAGACTACTGTTACCGAGCTTGGGTTTCATTCTTCTGCTTCCGACTCTGCTTTATTTCTAAGACATACCTCGGTTGGTTTTGTTACTCTCTTACTAAATGTAGATGATATGATCATCACTGGCTTTGACTCTTCTGCTATCTCTGAGGTCAAGCAGCATCTCTTCCGCACCTTTGAAATAAAGGATCTGGGACCATTGCAGTATTTTCTTGGCATTGAGGTGGCTTCTTCTCCCAAGGGTTACTTTTTGTCCCAAACTAAGTATGCTAACGAGGTTATCCATCGTGCCAGACTTACTGACAATTATATCGTGAGCTTAATGTAAAGCTCAACACTACTGATGGGGTTCCTCTAGATGATTCTACGTTATATCGCGAGCTTGTGGGTTGCTTAGTCTATCTGACAGTTACTCGCCCTGATCTTGCCTATGCTGTCCATGTGATCAGTCAGTTTGTTTCTGCCCCTCGCTTTACACATTGGGCTGCTTTGCTTCGGATTCTTCGCTATCTTCACAGTACTATCTTTCAGGGCTTGCTGTTCTCTTCTACTTTTTCCTTAGACCTGGTGGCTTATGCTGATGCTGATTGGGCTGGTGATGTTAATGATCGTAAATATACTTTTGGTTTCTGTATGTTTCTTGGCGATTCCCTAATTTCTTGGAAAAGCAAGAAACAAACTGTTGTTGCCCGTTCTACTGCCGAAGCTGAGTATCGTGCTATGGCTTATGCTACTGCTGAAATTGTCTGGCTTCGTAGTCTCTTATCTGAGTTGGGCGTCCCTCAATCTTCCCCGACTTCTCTCTATTGTGACAACCGAAGTGCTATTCAAATTGTTCATAACACTGTTTTCCATGAACGGACAAACAATATTGAGCTTGATTGTCACTTCGTCCGTTAGCATCTGCAATCTGGTCTTATCTCGCTTCTTTTTGTCTCTTCGGCTCTGCAACTTGCTTACTTCTTCACTAAGATCTCTTATCTGAGTTGGGCGTCCCTCAATCTTCCCCGACTTCTCTCTATTGTGACAACCGAAGTGCTATTCAAATTGTTCATAACACTGTTTTCCATGAACGGACAAACAATATTGAGCTTGATTGTCACTTCGTCTGTCAGCATCTGCAATCTGGTCTTATCTCGCTTCTTTTTGTCTCTTCGGCTCTGCAACTTGCTTACTTCTTCACTAAGACTCACACCACTGCTCGGTTTCGGTTTTTTCTTGACAAACTCTCAGTGTTTTCTGCTCAAACACCTTGAGTTTGAGCAGGGGTGTGAGAATATGTGTTCTCCTAGGATTAGAAATAAGTGTCCTATATCTATTAGACTTCTATATATCTCAGTGATGTATTCATGTAGGATTAGGAATTAGTGGTACTCTATATAAATGATGTATGTATTCTTTGTTCAATCAATTCAATCTAATATACAGTTTTGTTTAGAAAACTTATAGTAAAATGTTAGTTTGGCTTGATTTTCAAAAGTTGCAGGTGGCAGGATTTATGGAATTAGTGACATGATTTATGTGGGTAGCAACTACTTTATGGAATTAGTAAAATGTTAGTTTGGCTTGGATCACTTGAATATTTGTTCTTTTTTTTGTAAACTTTTGTCTTTTTTCTTGGGAAAAAGAAGCTATTCAGAATATTGTAAAATGGTGTAACGGTGTCTAACGGACCGTTACAGCTGTTACGGTACCCTTACGGCCATTACGTAACACCGAAATGGCTGTTACACATGTGAATTTCCATCACACCGCTATAGCGGCCGTAACGGGTGACAGTAACTACCACAACCGTTACGTAACGGTTGCGGCTGCTTTTTAAAATCTTGTGTGCGACCCATTTTTAAAAAAAAACTCTTATGAAGTTTTCTTATCTCTCTTAATTTTCTGGTATCACGTTAGTATTAGAAAGAGCGATCTTCATTAAGATTGAAGAATATGGGATGGGAAAATGCAGGTTTTGCAAACTTCTGTGACATGGTGATTGTGGGCACTTGGATATTTAGGATTTTTCTTTAGTTTTTTTATTAGTACCTTTAATTTTGGCTTCCAATCTATATGGATATGTTTTGTCCATGACATAAATGATAAAAAATATGGACAGTGACATAATGACAATTTCTCTTGAAGAGCATACTCTTGTATAAATGATAATTCCAAAAGAGTCTATATAGAGTCGAGTGGAGAAGAAGGATTTATGTAGCCGACCCCATTTGATGAGACTTAAGGTTTGGTTTGGTTATACATACTACCTTATAATTAAAAAGTTCCTCATTGGCTGCTGGCACTCTGCTCTCTCTGCATGTATGTATTTTCATATGACATGCTCTAGCTGTATCGAGAGTGGGTAGCCTGTCGCCCCCATTTCCACGTGTCCGGTTTTAGTGTCCTTGCTCCTTTATCCCTATTGTGCCTTTGGCTGCGGTGTTCTTACTTGCTGGTCCTAGTCCTTCTAGTATCCGGTGCTTAAGAGTCATGTGAAGTTTGCTTGTTCACCTTTGTTTTTCAGGTGAATTGCCATAGTGTTATTGTGGCCACAGGAGCTACTGCAAGAAGGCTCAGTTTACCTCGTGAAGATGAATTTTGGAGTAGAGGAATTAGCGCTTGTGCAATTTGTGATGGAGCATCTCCACTATTTAAGGGTCAAGTTCTTGCTGTGGTTGGAGGAGGTGATACAGCTACAGAGGAAGCATTATACTTGACTAAATATGGCCGTCATGTTCATTTACTTGTACGCCGGGACCAACTAAGGGCATCCAAAGCAATGCAAGATAGGTGAGCTAAGATGAACAATTTTTTATTTATTTATTTATTATTCCTCTTTTTCCACTTTTCATTTTTGTTTTTAGTTGCTACATCATGCTGAGTAAAACTGCTCATCTTATATTGCCTCTAGATGTATATAATTTTGGACAATATTATTAAAGTTTTTTGTTTTTTGGAAGGCATCTGTTTGAGATTTTGTTTTTTGTATTATCTCCTTTCAGGTATACACCACCTTGACTCTTTTTTCTAGCTTAGATATTGTGGAATTCTTTCTTCTTTGTGTTTGCATGTATAATTTCTTCAGTTTTTCTTCCTTTTTTTTTCTAAAACAGAATGGGATGGGAGAGTTTCTCGATTCCAACCATTTTTGTTGGATCAATTTTGCACATGCATTGCAAGGGCCCCTTGCTTTCCTGTTTGAAGCTATTTGCTGTTGCCCTTCACTGCAATGCATAGTTTGGTTGTTTTGTGCTTTTCTTTTTTCTCCATCTTTCAAATAATTTCTTGGAGGAATCTTTTTCATTCAATTACCTCAGACTTATGATTATCATATGTAGACTTTTTTTATTTTTTATTTTTTTTGGATCTGCGACAGAAATTTTATGAACATGTTTAGATATGCTATGCTGATCAAAACATGTTTAGCTAAACTTTATTGTGAAAAAAATGTGTTGCTTTTAAGTAAAGTTTTAGAATACATTCTTCCTTTTCTCAGTCGCTACTTTAACAATTTGATTTGCCACCTCTTGCGCATTACCACAACGAAAAGAAAATTTATTCAAAAAAGAAAAAGAAAGGAAAAAGAATAGAGATTTCTATTGTGACTCGGAATGAACCTATATAATAAAAAACTAAAATGTTGACTCCTTACTGATAGTATCTAGGGTTTATTGCTGAAAGAGCACATTTTTCTCACAAATTTAAATAGCTTACAGAAACATTTTCTTGGAATTTTCGTCTACCATCCCCCCTCTCTGCAAAACTCATTTTGTATGAGAATGAATTGAAAAATGTCTCAAGTGACTTCAGATTGCATTTGCTTTGTTGCTACAGTGTTTTTTCATGTATACAACAGTGGTTTCTTTCAGAATCAGAATTATAGCCATCAGCATCCAAGACTGAAACACTCGAAATTAAGCCTTTAAAATATATATTAATGACAATGTTCCCTTAATATGAAAGTAGAAAAATGATTTCTAGGGTTGGCAGAGAAAAGTGAAGAAAAGAATGTCTTTATTTTTTTGCTAGCTCTCTAATTCATATGATATCAGATGAAATCACAAACATCTGCCCTTAATAATCAGCAGAAACAGTAGATCTGACATTTACCTGTGTTACCATCCAGCTAGAATATGATAATGGGAATTTAAAATGCAGTATTTAGATTTTGTGGTTAGGTTATGAAGACTAACATAGAACTGAAGAGTAGTTTTATGTTTGACCAATAGAGGACGATTGAAAGAACATCTGCAAAATGTGCCAGATTCCTCTCTGCTTTCTAAAAGCATGTTAGACTTTCAATTTACTATTCAAAAATGCTTTAGAGCTCTAATATAGGAGCTCTAATAGCTATAATGGGAAGGTGGGTCTCACCCTGATGTGATGTTTGTGCCTTGTTTTGTTTTGTTTTGTTTTTTTTTTTTTACTTTGACACATCATTAGAGCGCAAATTAGAGCTCTATATTTAGAGCTCTCTATCATTTCCCTTTACTATTTGGGACTCTTATAACTGTTTTCTGTGGTTATAATTACTTATGTTTATACTAATAGATATGATAATGGGCTTTTAATGAAGCAAAGAGACACATTTCACTGGTAACTACATTGCCATCCTAGGTGGTGTTGTATGATGCTCTTAATTATGCAATGTGTGAGGCGTATCAGTAGGATGATACAATAATATGGTAACCCCGGTTAATAAATTTTCCAAGCTAAAGATATCACTATTACCCCAACATTTTGCAAGCTTACTTGTCATCCTGGTCTTAAGCTATCTAGTTAGTTCTTCAACCCTAAGCAACTGTTTCGGGTCAGTGTTGTCCTGGATCCATTAGTAAATTACCCTTGGCTCCTATTTTGCTTCCAGTGGAAACATTTTCCAGATAATATGATGATTTGGTAGGATAATAAGAAGCATGAATGCATGTATACACCATGCGGCTGTGATACAATATGTACACATTAACAGGGAAATTTTAAATAAAGAAAAACACGGACATGGTAAAAAATAAATAGATATGAAAATAATAATAATAAGGAAAATGATATACGAGTTCAACTTTTAGACGCACTTTTTAGACTCAGTAATGTGTCAAGAAAATGATTGGTTGATAATTAGAGAATATTTAATTATCAACCAATTATCTTGATACATCACTGGATTTAGAAAGTAGGTTTAACTTTTAGGTCTGAATAGCAATGCTCTAATAATAATAATAACTATATTTATTATACCAAAAAAGTAAGATTCAGTTTTCCACATTCTGTGTTGAAAAGAAATATTAACAAAGAGTCCTCATATTTATTTTAAAAAGCTCTATTTTTAAAACAAATTGGAAGTTTTAGGCTTTCGGATTCTCAAATTTAAAAAGCTAAAGGAAGAGGGATTAATATGTTTAAATTTACATTATTTTTATATTTATTTTAAAAAGCATAATTCCAAAACAAATTGGAAGTTTTAGGCTTTTGAATTCCTAAAATTAAAAAAGACCCTTGCTATTTTGGGTGGCACACCACCAAAATGGTCTTCCGGTATGACTAGATAATTACTTGTGTCGTGTCTAAGGGAGATGTGTGCCGCCAAATGTTTGAAGTTTGTTTGGTTTTAAAAGAGTTGAAAAATAATAGGATGTGTGTCCAGCATTGGTGGGTGGTTGTTTCTCATAACCCCATCATCAAGGTCTCAAAACTTGGTAGAAGAGAGAGAGAGAAAATTAGTTTTGCATTAATCTCTTAATCAATTAGAAGACCGAATGTTTCTTAAATAGAGAGATGCACTAAACACATTAGGAAAGAACAAAATAGGAAACTCTTAATAGGAAATTATAATGCTCTGTTAGAATTTAAATTTACCATCACCTACCACACACTTACCATCACCTACCACACACTCACCTACTACACTCACCTACTCCTCACCTACCACCACCTAACCTACATCTATATAATCAATCAATTGTAACAGAATTGTAACAGAATCAAATATCAATCAATCAGCTATCAAACAATAATACATATATTTTTTACATGGTATCAGAGCAGGTTTAGAACCTAATATTTTCGCTTCCCCGGCGGGCGGCAATCTCACCTTAGCCGCCCGCCGGACCTCAACCTAGTCCGCTAAGATTTTTTTTTTGTACACATACCTCGTCAGAGCAAAACCTCCAAACGCCCTACCCTTCGCCGCCCACCACCGCCGTTGACGGCGGCGCAACCAGCACTCATCTCCTTCCAATCTCTCTCCATGACTCGTCCACCTAGATTTCTCGGCGGCGTCAGCTCATCTTCATCTTCCTCTTCCTCAGCCACTGCGACGGCGCAACCCCCGGAGGCCGTAGCCGTCGAGTCGGACTTCGTCGTCATCCTCGCCGCCCTACTCTGCGCCCTAATCTGCGTCGTCGGCTTCATTGCCGTGGCCCGATGCGCCTGGCTCCGCCGCAGCACCTCCTCCTCCTCCGCCGCCGCCCCCAACAAAGGCCTCAAAAAGAAGATCCTCCAGTCGCTTCCGAGGCTCACTTACGACTCCTCCGCCGCCAACTCCAAGCTCGGCGAGTGCCCGATCTGCCTGGCGGAGTGCAGCCGGCCGGCAACTTTGCCTTCGCTGCCCGCTGGAATTTTCTACACATTACTTCGAGTTCTTCGCCATATTGCTCACGAGTCTCAGGCGGGCTTGCCTTCATATCGCAGCCCGACTCGGAGCCTTCCTTGCACTGCCGAAGGAATCCTTTAACCATCAGTCGGCAACCTTTTTCCAGCAAGTCGTTCGCCGGAAAGTCCATCGCCGCCGTACACTCCGGCCTCACCGACATCGATCAGCTGGCGGACCCCCCCACCCGCTGCTCCCACCACCGTCGCGCCCAGTTAGCGACCTTCTTCCGGTTCCCCGACGACATCCTCCCTGCCAACGACGACTTCCACCTCGCCCTAATCTGCGTCGTCGGCTTCATTGCCGTGGCCCGATGCGCCTGGCTCCGCCGCAACACCTCCTCCTCCGCCGCCAACTCCAAGCTCGGCGAGTGCCCGATCTGCCTGGCGGAGTACGCCGACGGCGACGAGATCCGCTTGCTTCCTCAGTGCGGCCACGGATTCCATGTCGCCTGCATCGACACGTGGCTCGGATCTCCCTCCTCATGCATCGCCATTCCAGAGGTGGAGGTGAAGGCCAGAGAAGACAACGGTTCTTCGAGCGGCTTCTTACCAGTTTGGGTTTCCCACCCACGAGAGCATACGTTGTTTTTTGAAGGGTCAGCAAAACTTGCACCCACAGCTCCTTTTTCTTTCTTCACATGCTTCCCTTTCTTTTCTTTTTTTATTTTTCACTTTCCAACCCACTACTCTTTTTTTTAATCTCCATTCATTCCTTTTTATGCAAGCGCACCTGCTTTCTTTTACTATATTCTTATTCTTATTATTACTATAAAAAAAAAAAAAATGTGACTTGTCCCCTCTCTCCTCCGTTTGATTCCACATTTATTATTTTTATTTCTTTTTATTTATTTCTTAAAAAAACAAAAAAACAAAAAAACAAAAAAAAAAAAAACAAACTTGCAGAAGCAGAAGACGAACTACACACCAATCATATTTTATTCATCTCAGGGCACAACCCCGATCACACTTTTACACACACCAAAAAAAAAACAAAAACAAAAAAAAAAAACAAAAACAACCTCATCCACAGGCAGAATTTTTCTCCTCTACTCTACTGCAGGTCTCTTCTTTTTGCCTCCGTCCTGGGCAGTCCTTGACGGTGCTGCCTCCGTGTTTTCCACGCCGCCGAGCACGTTCACTCCCCCATACTCTTCCACTGCAGCATATGGCGGCCCTCCAAATCGGAACATCACGGTGGCATGATCCTAATACGCTTCCTCCCCAACAACTGTGCATGATAGAAGAGAGATATTTGAACACATGACATAGTGCTCTGGCCATAAATTAAAGAGGTGAGTAAATTTTGGGCTTTTAACTCATCTTCAAACGGTAACATTTTATCAACCGTCCATTTCCTCCATTCTTTGGAAAAACTTGCATTTGGTAAAATTTTAGAATTATGATTTGAGAATACAGTTGTATTTCAAGTTTATGAGTTTTGGAATTATGATTTGAATATAAAAAAATTATTTGGTTATGAGTTTTGGAAAGAGTTTTGAATTGAGTTTGAAATTTTTGATGTGACATATGATATTTGATTAAAAAACTTATAATTCATAATCAAACACACAATCTAAAATTCTATTCAATGCTCATAAAATTTTTTTAAAAAATTCCGAAATTTTTTTTATTTAAAATATAAAAATAACAGGTGTCAAAAAAAAACGCGAACATTGTTCTGGTCAACCGGCTGGACGTCCGGGAACATGACCGAGTAAACGTGTTTTCAACAATGTGTGTGGAATCAATTTTTAAAAACTCTCACCAAACACCACATTCAAACCAATGGGTGGAATTAGGATTCCAAAACTCCACCAAAGAGACATCTATCAAGATTCCCGAGCTCTACTTGGAAGTTGAATTGTCATCTATCAAGATTCAGCAGTTCCATTGCAAAAACTCCAAAGCAAAGATTCCAAAAAAAGGTTGGAGCAGATGACATGAAATGATGACGAAATAATATTCTCATAAAGATGGCATGGTTTTTATTACAAAAGTAATCCAACAAACATCAGTCGAAAGGGAACACTAAACTTACAATACCACCAATTTTGCCCTGCAGTATCTCCCATTTGAGATATTCAACTTCCCACCCAACAGCCGCCTCAGTATCAGTCATTTTCGGCTAACCATATTTTTAGTTCAACTGTCACAAGCTTCATCACCAACTTGGAAAAAATATTCTACGAGTCTCTATCTTGCCTAAAAATGGGGCGAAAAGGTATTGAATCATTGGTTCTTCTATTGAATGTCAACTAAGTAGAACAGCAACCTCCCTTCGTATTCACTGATGCGTCGCTGACATTGCTAGTCGTCCCTTTGTTAAAATATGTTAGTGCATTATATTGTTAGTGTATTCTATGTTGTTATTAGCTGTAAAGTGTGTCCTAGTTGATCATGATGTCTTTGCTTTCGGTCCAACCTCTGTACACTCTTCTATAAAGAAGAGTAAGTTTCTCCTTATGTAATACACAACAACAGAATATCAATCAGATATCAATCAATAATACATATATTTTTACTTGACCAGGAATTGCAGTGGCAGTGGCTGCTTCCTTGGCTGCCAATGCTTTTTTGCTTATGATGTGGTATATGTCCGTCAAAATGGTTTGGAATGCTTTGTCGATGTTGAGTGCTTCCAATGCTGATGTCTCAAAAATGAAAGTCCTTCCTTCTCAGCCAAGACGTGACCATCCTGCTCTGAAACTGCTCTGAGATGGTTTAGATCATACTTGTTTCCAGCCATCATGATTACAATGTTTGAATCTGCATGGTCACTTAATTCACGGAGCCGCCTCTGGACATTGTCAGAGGTTTGCCTCTTAGTTATGTCATAGACGACAAATGCACCTACTCTCGGTACCTCTCCTGGCCAGCAGTATCCCATATCTGTGCCTCAACTGTGTTTCCCTCTACCTGTATCAGAGAAATTGGTAGAATATAAATTAGAATTGGCTTCATTTCTTAACCTACATGGGAGAGAAAAATTAGGGAGAAGAAAACTCATTTCCAATTTTGATATGAAACAAGTGCCAACATCTTGTAATATATATTCAACATGCGGGCATAATTTCAAACTGTAAGTACAAAAAGTAAATTGCGAATCCAAACTATTATAGATTAGCATATGATTGTAGGTAAATAATTGAGCCAGCAAAGCCTTAATGAACTAACTGTACTTGGAATGGCTAGAAAAGTCTGCTTACATGGTATAAGCAAATAATAAAGCTGGTACTTCTAAAATTCCTAGTTTTCTTGCTGGGGGACTTACGTGTAGGTCCTAATAAGAGGACTTATTGTCCAATAGGTCCTATGATAATTAATGATATTTTTCATTAAACACTATTAAAAAATGTCACTAATTGTTAATTTTTAACGATAATATGAAAATTTTGTCACAAAAAATGTTACCAGTTATAAGTTTTAGTTACAGTTTAAAAAAATCGTCAAAAAAAAGTGTCATTAATCCACAACTTTTAGCAACAAATTGAAAATTCGTCACAGAAAAACGTCACTAATTGTAAGTTTTAGCGACAATTTATAAAACCCATAACAACAAAAAGTCACTAATTGTCAATTTTTAGCGACATATGTAAAATCGTCACAAAAAAAATTATTTTTAGCGACGATTTTACCAAGACTTATTTTCAATAAGATTTGATGGGAATTAAGTCTAACTATAAGGACGTATTGGTAGTTTACCCTTCTTATGTTTGGGCAGTTTCCAATTTCCTCGGTATGAATGAGTCTAGTAAAAGTGGTAAATTGTAGATTAATATTAAATAATCAAGTTCACCAATCTGCATAAGCTTCATGAAAAGAGTCCAGATCCTCTAGAGTAATTTTTCGTAAAGTGATCTTAGAGTGATTGTTTGTCTGGTTGACATTTTTTTAAAAGTGATTGCAATACTATTGTACTCTCAACTTAGTACTACTGTATCCTTAACTTTTGTAGAATTAAATTTCAACCATTCAAAAACTCACTCTAGAGGATCTGGATTTGAATGGAAAATGTTGGTTTACGTGAACCCCATATCCTGAACTCGGTTATGAAGGTATGATACATAGTCAAATTACCAACGTCACTTCTATTGAAGAAAGAATTTATTTTTTATGTATTTTCTTGTTTTGTTCCTCTCTCCAAACTCAAGTTGGTTAGTTTCTATCCTCCTTGAGTTTGCGGGGGGCTGTTAGAATTTACCATCACCTACCACACACTTACCATCACCTACCACACACTCACCTACTACACTCACCTACTCCTCACCTACCACCACCTAACCTACATCTATATAATCAATCAATTGTAACAGAATTGTAACAGAATCAAATATCAATCAATCAGCTATCAAACAATAATACATATATTTTTTACATGCTCTAATGCTAAATATACAATACATTCACAGTGTTGGGGCATGTCCAAAGATGTTGGTGTCTAACACGTACACCCATACGTACAAGGCACCTTTTTAGAAGCATTTGTGCTTCCTAGTTGGTATGTTTATGCTAATTCTTTATATGTGGTATTGCCCCTAAGGTCGTTATTGAGTATTGCCCCTAAACTTGTATTATTTAACATGATTGCTTGTGGGGGCATTATGATATCTGGATATGAAACTTTGGCCCAAAGTTTCCTTTATGGTGGTGGTTGTTTTCTATTCCCTTTCGCGTGTGTGTGGCCCCCTTCTTTTTGGATGCATGTTTTGGTTTGATTCTTTCTTGTTATACGAGTTTGATGTATTTAATGGGATGGGTTACTCTTTTCACCCCATTTGGTGAATAGAATTACTAATGAACAATTTAGATGTTGAGTTTCAACTCCCTGAATGTTTGTTTAACAGGTTGATTATGGCGAATGTTTCAGAGTTTACAACAATCCAAATATCACCGTGCACTTCAATACAGAGACTCTGGATATTGTTAGCAATACGAAAGGGCAAATGTCTGGCATTTTGGTTAGAAAAGTTGACACTGGGGAGGAGTCTGTGCTTGAGGCAAAAGGCTTATTCTACGGGATAGGTCATTCACCAAATAGCCAATTTTTGGAAGGCCAAATTGAACTTGACAGCTCAGGTTATGTGTTGGTGGAGGAGGGTACTGCAAAAACTTCCGTTGAAGGTGTATTTGCTGCTGGAGATGTACAGGTAACTATGTCAAATGTTACTTGATTATTTCCTGCTTCTGTTTGTTATTTTATGGAACTCTCCAGGTTCATTACATGCCCCAAAATGTGCTGCTTTGGCATTTCAAAATGGATTTGGGAAATGAAACTCCATCAGTAAGGTGTAGGACAGGTTAGGTTTGGCTGCTGCCTGACACTTTGATCAAATGCATATATCTGGTGGAAGAGATGTATACAATTTTAGTGCAATCCTAGTGCACAAATATTTCCATGACACTGTATTTCCTTTCCTTTCCATGGAGGACTCAATATGTTAAAGAGTCTTAGAGAAAATAACTTTGATAACTATTCGTGATTTGAAGGATTGATTTATGCCGAGTCATATTGCTGAGTCTGCACTACAGGGTCTGTTTTAGATTTATCTAAGACATGCTAAGAAATTCAGGAGTGTTTGAGGATAAATATAGAAGATTTAAGGGGTTTATGGGATAAAATTTTCTGTTTTGTATATTTTTGGGCTTCATCGGCCCCCTCTTTCAAGGGGACTTCCTTATTTTTTATTGTTAGATATTGGAAAGCTGTGTGTGATATTTAATCTTTCAGTTTTTTATCTTCCTTTTAGCTTGTGCTTGGTGGACTTCTTGGCCACTTGTTCTTTGTTGAACTTCCTTTAATATATTCTCTTTGTTATTGATTAAAAGGAAATTATTTCTAATTTAGTATTAAAAGAAGTATTACAGAGAACAAGTGGACAAGATAGATTTATTTATGTTTTATTAAATTTTTGTAGTTAAGGGTAATTTGGATAATTTTAAATTATGAACTGTTCGGGAATGGGCTCAACATGTACATATGATCTTACAGATTTGTATTAGTCATTGAACTTGTAATTTTTTGAGACTTGTACTTCAGTTTCATGATCTTCTTATAGGATCATGAATGGAGACAAGCCATAACTGCGGCTGGTTCAGGATGCATTGCTGCTTTATCAGTTGAGAGATATCTTACGAGCAATAATCTCCTTGTTGAATTTCACCAGGTATTTTTAGTCCTGATTGCATTCTGTTTCATCTGTTCAACTTCCCTCTTCGATCTATATCTGTGATTAATTTTGTGGTGGATTCTTGTGTGGTTAAAAGAGAATTAGGGCAGCATGTGGTGCGTTGTGTGAAAACTTATACAAAACCAATGTGCGAAATGATGGATCAAGCAGTTGTGGGTGTCAGATGCTTCCAACTGCCCTGCCCTTGAACTAGTCAAGTTTGGTGGTTGCAGAGCTCTGAAAACTATTGAAACCCTTTTCATTCTCTCTTTCTACGTACTTTATTTATTTATTTATTTTTTTGAAGTATTTGAAGGCCGTTGGAACCTCTAGTTAGATTGGTGACCCATTTAACATGTTCATGGTTTCGCTTGACCAGGTAGTGTTTTTCACCCCTTATACAAAGCTTTATTGAGGGCTAAATCTCTCCTTTTTGTTTTTTCACTTTACAAAAATACAGCTCCCAGAACCACCCTCTTTGTAATTGATTACCAAAAGTTCAATGTCAAACTACTTTATGGACTTTCGACCTCCCCTTTTTTATTTGTCACATTCTGGCTTTTACCTGTATGAATAACACTGCATCACCATAGTCCAAGAAGAAGACAACTAATGGAATGATAAAATTTTAGTGTTTCTGTCAAAAATTACCAAAACATATTGAAATGCATTAAAACACAACTCAATATTTGAAAACAATAATTGTATCGAAACAAATTTAAATTTTTTCATAAAGTTTTTTATAATTCTTTTTTGAGAAAAATATAGAATTTCGTATTTTATTATATTAGTAAATTAGTAAGATAGTAATACTATTATTACAACTGTCTATGTTAATTTTTAGATTTTATTTTGGTAGAATCTTGCATACTTTTTCAATCACTTACAATTGTGTTTAATAAAGTGAGTTATTTGACAATATTTAACAATTTATTTTCTACTACACTGATCATTTCATGAAGCATTCAACCCAATTTAACTACCCAATATTCAGGAGATCCTTTCCCTGAACCCATACATGTTTGTGTGGGACTTACTGTAATTGGTTCATGAATATCAATAAATTTAATTAACCAAATGCTAGGCATTTATATGTTAAGATGCATTTTAATTTATGTTTCCAAACATTTTTATATGTTTTCAAATTTTATTTTTGTTTTTTTAAAAACTTTTGAAAAGTTTCCAAGGGTTCCAAAACGTTTACAAAATGTTTTCAAAATGTTTCTATTTCCAGGCTTATCAAAACTCCAGGCCAAAACAGACTTTTGATCATTGTGTTTAGGAGCCTTAAGTGGGCAAAGTTTAATGATTCTATTCTACATAAAATTTTAAGACTTTTTGTCTCTGCTTCTACTCCTCTTTGTCATCCTCCTTTTGTTTGATTTTTTTCCCCTTCAGTAACCTCCATCCAGACCTTAATAATCATTTTTTGTAGTGCCAAATTCTACAAAAATAGGTCCAATCAACTTCTACATAAAGAGATTCTACCATATGAGCCCGAAAACATAAAAGAAGCCATTGCCATCCTTGGTTACTGTTCACAGCTGCAATATAGCCTGTATTGCAGTCCCAGAACTTTATTGTAACACCCCATAATCTACGAGCTTTCTATAATCTCTGCATTCCATAAAACAATTTTAAGGCTGCATTATTTTAAGTTCCTTTAGCGGTGCCCTAAATCACATCAAAGAATACATGGGTAATTGAATTTCATATTGAACTGTTCTTATACTAGGAAACTGATGTAGAACGGAGGGGAAGAAGAGGGAGAGGAGAAGAACACAAGGGCGACAGTCTTAATCACAAGGCCACTAACACTCAATTTCATTAGCCCAAATCTGCATAATACAAAGCAAAACCCAATATTCGTAGGCCAATAACCTTAATCAAAATAGGAAACTAATACCTGAATAAAATAGTAAACCAAAGACTCCTAATTAAACTACAATTATAAATTTTAAAGACATTATATAAATAAAATATCTCTGTCAAAATTAATGTGCACACACTCCGCATCAAAAATGGTGCAAGATGTAGTGCAACTTATTTTGTGTCATCTCTCTTTTTTACCTCTCTCCTAAAAATGAACAATTGAAAGTTTGCATCTTGCTGGTGTAAGAAGCACGAACACTTCTGCTGAAGAATCATGTCGTGTTGGACACTGACATTCTTCGGACACTTCTAAACTCATGTCTAATACTTCTTCAACATGTTTTAATTAAAAAATCAAATTTATGATATTGGACACTTTACCACATATCGCTAACACTTCTTAAATCCTCTGAGCCTGTCCTATGTGATGAATTCCTTCATAATAATAATTTCTACATTCTTCAAAACACAACTTATGCACTCTAAAAATATGTTTTGAAATATCTATACGATGAATACATTATATGTATTACAATGTTTTATAATTGTTTTGCATTCTTTATAATCAAACTGTTACATGAATAATATTTTGATGTTTAAGTTATGAAATATTTAGCTTAATATAATTAGTGTTATCTTATATTTTTTCCATTATCTTCAAATAAAATATCCATATATATGACATATATAATAAGATTTTAATGTGTATGAAGCAATTCATGTCCTGCATTTTTTAAAAATCAACATGTCAGTGTTGTGTCTGTGCTGTATCAGGTGTCTGTATATGTGTCTGTGCTACTCAGTTGCTCGCATTGCAGGTAGGGGTTTGCCTTCTACTCCCAGTCTTTTGATAGCAGACCAATCTGTATCTCATCGGACCAATATCATACAAAACACTTTTGATATCACATCTATTGGATTCCATCCTGCACAAATAGGACGAAAACACTGTTGCTGGATCTGTGGAATAGGTCAAGACCCGAATGCTTTAACTACTGCCTATTCCAAAGCATCCTAAAGAACTTGACCCTGAATGTGGGTGGCTTGTAGCCACAGTACAATACATGACTCTGTCACTGAGATGATTTTTTTTTTGCCATCCTCAGCCAAAATCCTGCGGTGGCTTGTAAATTTGGCACACAAAAGAATTAAGATTAGACATTGCAGCTGAACCTCTTCCTCAGTCAACCTTTCAAATCTATGTAATTCTGAGATAATTGAACCTGGTAATGGAGTTGGGATCTGCTTTGACTGCATGGAGACTAGCAAAACCTGAGGTTTACTTGTTTTTACTACACAAATGCAGTCCAATATTTATGTGTACATGTATACTGAAGAAAAAGATTATGCCTTCAGCTTAAATGTGGTCATTCTTGTGGTGGAATGTTTAAGGAAAGTTGAAAGTAATAGGTTTATTTGAGTTGTGGATGATTAAGTTTAGATCATTAGTCATTCATTCTTACTTGAAAGTGGGAATTAATTAGTGGAAATTTATTTAAGTGGATGCCATATTATAAAGTGTCTGTAACACCATAGTTTAATGTTAATCTCACTATTTCATGCATTTGGTTCTTTATTCTTTCTTTTTCTTGTTTTCATAGCCCAAGACTGAAGAGGTTAAGAAGGATCTCACAGATAGAGATGTACATGAGGGTTTTGACATCACACTTACAAAGCACAAGGGCCAGGTAAATGTTGTTTTCCTGAGAGGCTTGCATCAATATAAAGGATATTTTTTAAAAAAAAAAATTAATTGTTATCATTATTATTTGTAGTGACCTCTGATCAAATCGTATTTCCTGTATGATTTTAATTCTCTTAAGCCCTAAGCTTGAGCTTTTTGTTCCCCACAGTATGCTCTACGAAAATTGTACCATGAAAGTCCAAGGCTTATATGTGTATTATACACAGCACCAACATGTGGTCCATGTAGGACACTGAAGCCAATTCTTAGCAAGGTACCAGATTCATTGAATGCTGTGTGATTTGTGATTCTGAATGCATGTTTATAAAAAGGTTAAATTTATCATCAGTGCAAAAGTATATTTACAAATTCATGTATAAAGTTATAAATGTGAAGCAATGTCCCACATCGCTTCAGTGCTAAAGTAATGTTAAGCATACAAGCGTGAAGGCACCCTTACCTCAAGAGCTAGCTTTTGGGGTTGAGTTCTACTCAAGATCGTGTAACAGTAAACCTGTGTTACGTGGCACTTTTTGGCTTGGGCAATTTTGACAAAAGATTTAGAACATTTTGGGTATGTTTGGTTTAAGTTTTAGAGATAAGTTTTAGAAAAAAAATTTCAAAAAATTGTTTGGTTTGAGATTTTTCTCAAAAAATTTCCAAAATCACTTTCTCTCTCTTACACATCAATCAATCACTTTTTCTCTCTCCTCTCTCCTTCTCAATCACTTTTTCTCTCACACACGTCTACTCAATTACAACAAAATATCAAATCATCCCAAACTCGCAAACTCCAAAATTACTTTCAAAATATACAACCAAACAAACCAAAAAAATTTCTAAAACAACTCTCCCAATTTTTTTTCAAAAACAACTCTTCCAAAAACAAACCAAACAAGCCCTTTATAGTTCTGGGCCCTTGTATAGCTGCTGGAATTTCTGGTGAAGAGCTATCCAAATTGCTCACAGCAGTCTTAGCTATTATAAATTCCTAAATGTAAAAATGCTTGTGAGAAAGAAATAGGACCTTCGAGAGAGAACCGTGAAAACCTAAAATGGTTCCTACTACGCCCACTTAGGTCAACTCAAATCTTAATTTAGTGTCGTGTGGCACACTATGTGCTGAACACTTTCCAGTCTTAACGCTTTACCTTATGCTTTCTTTTATACGTTGGTGTTGCCTCAGACGTCACTCTCTTTCGCCATGTGAGATTGCAAGAGTTCAAGTGTTGTTGCCAAGGTTATTATAAATTCCTAAATGTAAAAATGCTTGTGAGAAAGAAATAGGACCTTCGAGAGAGAACCGTGAAAACCTAAAATGGTTCCTACTACGCCCACTTAGGTCAACTCAAATCTTAATTTAGTGTCGTGTGGCACACTATGTGCTGAACACTTTCCAGTCTTAACGCTTAACCTTATGCTTTCTTTTATACGTTGGTGTTGCCTCAGACGTCACTCTCTTTCGCCATGTGAGATTGCAAGAGTTCAAGTGTTGTTGCTTTGTTTTGCAGTGTGAGGTATGCCTCAAGGCATTCAATTGAAACGATGTGGGATTACGTGCCATTAGGGAAACTCCATTGGGGCTGCTATTTAAGATGGCATAGCTATATTGCACTGGGTGCTTCATGAGGCTGCCATTGAAGTTGCCAACTTTTGTATTTCTATCATTGGTGCCAAATTTGGCACAAGTTTTGGCATATTGCCCAATGTTGGCATTATTGTCAATAGCTAGATGTGTTTTATAGAGATTCAATGGTGGTTACGAAGATAAGATGATGTTTATGCCAAAAAATGACACAAGCATTGGAGCAAAATTGTCAAATTTTGGCATTTTTGTACTGTAACATAGCCAAAATTGTCAAATTTTGGCATTTTTGTACCATAACATAGCCAAAATTTGGCATTGGCAATGCTAAATAACAAATTTTGGCTATGATACAATACAAAAATGCCAAAATTTGGCAACCTTACTCTAATGATTGTTTCATTTTTTGGCTTAATAATCATCTCATCTTTCTAACCACAGTTGGATCTCTATAAAATGTACCTAGTCGTTGGTAACTTTTCCACCAATACGGAGTAGTCACCTACTGAGGCTTAGTTTGGTCTTGATTTTCTTTCTTGTAATTTTACATTGTAGCCAAGAAAGCAACTCCAATTGAGCTTCTATTTAATTTGCCATAGCTATGTTATAGCAACTAGGTGCTCCAATGGGTCTACCATTGAATTTACCAACATTTGGCGTTGCTATCCTTGGTGCCAAATTTTGGCATTGTCATCTCCAGTGGTCTTGCCAAAACATCTACTATTGCGAAAATTTGAAAGACTGAACAAACAACTCTTCAGTGGTCTGCTATCCCTCTTGCCAAATTTTGGCAATGCCAAACCTTGACACATCATCAAAATAATTGATTTGTATTCCAAAGTTTCCCACCATTGAACAACAAACAAAATCAAGTTGTGTCAAAACAAACCTGAACAAAAAAATTTAGAAAACAAAAAGCAATACCCAAAAAAAAAAAAAAAAAAAAAAATTCCTAAAATCAATACAAAGAAATGAAATATATAAATATATATATACTTGAGAACACAATAGCGATGATCGTTGTTGATGCTGATGATCGTCATTCCTCTCTGACCTTCATTCTTCTCAAATCTTGATAATCATCAAATCTTGCCAGATCTTGATGTTCTCCTCAGATTCGGTTGTTTCCCTCATATTGTGATGTCATCTCGAATCATCAGTTTATCGACGAAATTGGTAATTGTAACCATGAACAACAGTGACGATTGGAGATTAGAAGGTTTCACGATGATGATTAGAGATTGAAGATCGTCATTGCAAGCGAGATCTGGTCAAGGGTTTCAAGATCTGGTCGTTTCCTTTGTCACCGACTGAGATGTATGATGAGAATAGGCGGACCTAAAGAGTAAGATTTGAGAATCCAGTGGCTTTCAATTATTATGGAGCGTAGATTGGGAATCCAATGCTGTAACTTAAGAGATGATGATCCAATGTTATAAATCCAGTGGCCTTTTTTGAAATCTTTATTTCAAATTGTTTATTTTTTTTTTTTGGTCCATCTAGTAGAAAATATAAAACATTTTGAACAAAATATATATATATATATATATATATATTTTACTAAAGACGAAAAAAATCAACAAGAAAATCACTAAAAAAATGAATTCCAAAAACCCTTTGAAAAAAGAGCGAAAGTTAATTGGCATTGTATCAAAATGACATGTGACCATTGTGGACTTTGGCAATATGGCACTATAGCTAGCCAAATTATGGCTTTGGCATTGCCAAAATAGCAATTCCAATGCTATAATTTGGCATACTACAGTATCAAAATGCCAAATTTTAGCAATGTTGCTCCATTGGTACACTATTATTTTGACAATGTCATTTTAGCTATTTGTTGTCTTTCTCAAAAATAAAAAATAAAAAAATCTCATCCGTTCATCTCCTTTGTCTCTCAACCTATCTGAGCCATTGAACCTTTCTCCGCACAACTTTTACATCAAAAATTTCTTCCCCCTCATCACTGACTCTATTTGCTCCTCCCTCTCACACAATTCTTGCTTGATTCTCTTATAGTGATCCATTCATTTCTGATTGATACTTTCAAACAATTGATCCACCCATCCATGCATCCACCCATTTCTACCAGTCTCTCGCAGTCCTCTCTCTATAATGATATTCGATGATGGTTAAGGAGCAATGACCTTCGTTCACAAATAAGACAATGGTGATCGCGAATAAGAGATGCACGTGCCTTTGAGAGAGGGGGCTGTGTGCAATTGTGATGTGGAATTGGGTTCAGAGTTTTGTGGTATGTGGGTAGAATTGTATATTTTAGTAATAGGCTTTGTGGCCGCGTTTGGTAGCACTTGTGAACTTTTTTAACTTATTCGCTTAAAAAATGTTGAGTAATGTTGTTTGGTTGCAATTTTAAATTTGAACTCATTTGAATTTTTCAGCTTATTTGGCCAAAAAGTGAGATTTTCTTAGCCTACAATTTGTAGCTTTTTTTAGCTTATTTGAAATGCTTAATTACATATGGACAAAAGAATCCCATCTCTTTTGTTTTAAATATAACCTTTGAGGGCATTCTAGATATTTGCACAGCAAAAATTATTTGACAACATATCCAACCAAACATATTCAACTTTTTTCATAGTGATACAAAATCCCACATTGCTTGGCTACTAAAGTAATATGCCGTATAAAAGTGATAAAAATGATGTATTATTGATTGATATCTGATTGATTTATTGATACATATTCTGTCTATTACAAATGGTTCCTTATATAGATGTAGGTGTAGTGGATGGTGTGTAGTGGATGGTGATAGTGGTGTAGTGGGTTAGGTTTAGTGGAGTAGGTGAGGTGGTAGTGGTGTAGTGGGTTAGGTTTAGTGGAGTAGGTGAGGTGGTAGTGGTGGTAGGTGATGGTAAATTCTAACAAAAAGCATCAGGGCACCCTCATCTCAAAAGCTAGCTTTTGGAGTTGAGTTCTACCCAATACCATATAGCATGGTATCAGAGCCGAAGTACCAAGGATGGATAGGGTGTGGCCCTGGCCTGCATGTCGCAGGTGCTACTGAGTGAGCATGTTGGCCGTGAGGGAGGGTCTGAAGTGAAGTCTCACATTACTTGGCTACTAAAGTAATATGCAATATAAAAGCATGGGGGCACCCTCACCTCAAAAGCTAGCTTTCAGATTATGAAAAGCTATACCAAACAGATTTATGACTTATTTTAATTCTTTTAAGCTAATAATCTAAAAAATTATAATCATGGAAATTAACTTATAAGTGATACCAAATGGGGTCTATTTGGGCAGCTTATACTTGTGTAGTTTAGGATTTATTATTGTAAATTGTTCTATATATTATGAACCTCACAATATTCTATATATTAATACATTAATTAAAATGTAGTAAGTTTAGGAGAGACAAATATTGTACATCATTGAATTTCAGAGGGGTTGTGAATGATTTTCAAAAATTCACTTTGTCACTCGATTCTTGACACAGAACTCAACACTCCTAATACTGCTACACTGATCCGTCTTCTGACACACCTATTTATTTAGACCATGTTCTTGCATGTGAATAAAGAGATGATAGACTTTCGGAATCACGAAAGTCTTGTGTCCATCAGTGTCTCTTCATTCAAATTTCAGTTCATTAGCAAGAAAACCTTCCTCCCTCCCTTCTATATGTCTTCTAGTTTTGAACTAAGAAGCATAGAAACTTCCAAGTATATGGCATATCCGTGTCGGACACTGATATTCATTTCTGACATGGTGCAACCTGTCCTATTATTTTTAATTTTTTTTAGACCCTAACACACTAAGTTTTCAAGAGACACATATTAGTATAAATTTTGAGGGCACGTGTCCATTGTTTAGACACAAAACACATTACAAGTTTGAACAAAATAACTTTGGATCCAATAATACAACATAAATAACGTAGATTTATACCTATTAATCTCTCATCATTTACGTTGTGTTTGGATCATGAATTTGGGTAGTGATTTAAATATGGAAAGGGAAAAAGTATGTGAAATGTGAATGAAATATAACTAATTACATTTCATCCACATTTTCCTTTTCCCTTTCCAATCCCTACCCAAATCAATGATCCAAACGCAGCCTTAAACTTCATAAATTATATGAAACTATATATTTTATGTGTCTTCTGTGTGTCGTGTCTTGCATTTTTAAAAAATTACTGTGTTGGTGTATTCATGTCCCTGCTTCTTAGGATTTCAAGAAACACTAGTTATGGAATAAATTTTTTCTCATTTTCTCAAATGGCAGGTGATAGATGAATATGATCAAAATGTACATTTCGTTGAAATTGATATTGAGGAAGATCCTGAGATCGCGGAGGCAGCTGGAATTATGGGCACACCATGTGTGCAATTTTTCAAGAATAAGGAAATGCTCAGGTTGGTCTAATTTTTCCCTTTTTGCCTTTTGCTATATATATATATATATTCTTGACGTCCTGTCATGCTTCCCAATCTTTGTAATTTGATGTCTCTTCATCATCTTCTTCTTCTTATTATTTTTCATTTTCTTTTATTTTTGTTTTATTTTATTGATGAGTGTTTAAATAATCCTTTGATGGCAAAGAATTCCTTTGTTTGTCCTGTTTTCATTCCTTTATTTCCTGCAATTACCCTTGGTTTTCCTTGTACAGTCATCTGATGGGATATCATCTGAAAATGTGCTAGAAATAATTTGAGTAGCAGAGTTTGGCCAAAGTTAGCAATTTAGATGTTACATATCATCTGAAAGTTTGCTACAAATATTTTGAAACAGTAGATTCAGACAATATTTAGCAATTTCAACCGACATCTTGTTCTGTTTTAAGTGTACCAGAAATTTGCTTTAGGCAGTGAACCAAAGCTTTAAAGGGGGAGCAATTTAGGGTCATGATATTCTCACATCACCAAACCAAAATTTTTAGCTAATTCTTCTGTGCTGGATATGCAGGACAGTGTCCGGGGTCAAAATGAAGAAAGAGTACAAAGAATTCATTGAAGCAAATAAGTAAAGTTTTTTTTTTTTTTTTTTTTTTTTTTTTTTTTTTTTTTTTTTTTTACCCTTTCACCCAAAAAATGCTTGTTTGGGCTGGTGCCACCACTTGTTGATTCAGTTTTGTTTGTTCCCAAAGTGGCTTAGTTGAATAAATAGTACCTGTAATTATACACTGACTGATCCCTTGTATTGATTAACTGCTCCATAAACTACATCTCGAGTTCTTAATGGATCATTGCAATTTTTGAGGCCCCAATCTCTCTCTCTCTCTCTCTCTTAAATTTAAGAATTGACCCTGCTGAATAGACCAAGGACTAACAGCTTTGCAGGTGCATCAATTCTTTCTTGAACTTTTCACATAGAGAGAGTATATATTTGTAGGAGGTCCAAAATATGCAGTGTATGATGTATCACTGGAGAGAGGCAAAATTATGTGAACAGTAAACAATCTAACACGTCTATCCCAAAATGTGAACAGTAAACTATGTGAGCAGTTAGGAACGAATTAATATGACATTAAACAAATGGGCATCACCTTCCCTCTCCCAAAATCCTCTTTTTAAACTTTGAGAAATGGGCCATATTTATAAGCTTTTTCTAGATATTCAAGAGACCAAGTGGCTAATAGGATGATGACACGTCTCTCTGGGACCACGTGAAATGTTCTTTGTCCTAATCGTCGGGCCTTGGTGGAGACGTGTCTCTCAGTCTTTAGTATCACCTACCTAGGTGGTACTTTCCTCGATGGTACCTACCCTGATAGTGCCGTACTTGGTACAACATTTCATAGACCTTACTCGGGAGCTATAGCCTTCCTTCAGCTATCCTTGAATTCATCGTAGCGATTCCTTTACTCTTAGCCACCAAACTACAAGATCCCCAACTTTTGAATCAAAATAAATAAATAAATAAATAGAATAAGATTCCCAACTTCCAAATTTAGGGTCATAGCAAGGCCTTAGCTCAGTCGAGCTATGCCTCATACCAAGCCTCAAGGGCTCCCTTGGTCATGCCATTGCGACCGAGACAAGTCCTTAACCTAGGTAAATGGAAAGGAAGTCCCTTACTTTTAAGCTTGTCTTCATCCATCTTCACGGAAGTCATGATTCTGACTTGCCGCATTAGTTTTGGTATCTTTAGGCCTGCTATCAGCTCCTACTAGTGATCTTTGTTTACACAGAAAGGAGGCAACCCTCTAAGGCTGCACTCACCTCAGGGAGTCTTGCATCAGATAGTTGTGCCTTAAGGGTGGCGCCTCGACAAGTCTTCTCTCAAGGGCGACGCAACAGGTCTTCCCGCAGGGGTGGTGCCTTATTAAGTCTTTACCTCAAGGGTGGCGCCGCAATGAGTCTTTCGTGGGGGCAGTGCCTCAATAAGCCTTACCTCAGGTAGTTGTACTTCGATTACTTATACGGTGGTTAGTCTTTTCAGACCCAGTAGTCGAACCATGTTCGGTTCTTCGTTGACCCATTTTCTTTAGGATTTCCCATACTCCTTTAATCAAATGCACTTCTCCCGCAAAGGCAGATTTGGCTAGAAAATCAAATTTTGAATTTCATCTTTCTACAATATTTATTCGGGTTTCATACATTTTCTTTTCTTCTATTTCTTGGATCATCCATACGAACATTACATCCAACCTTTAATCATAAAGTAACTTTGTATTTTCTTCAAATTGGTTGTGCTTTGAATGGAAAACCACATATATTTAGCCCTCGAAATTTTTTCCCATCATGCAGGATGAGGCCTGACATCATCCATCTGCAAACTCTATAATGTGTGCCATTGGTTCTAGGATGAGAATGAGAATTCAATAAGAATATGAATTTATTTAATTTGATTAAATATTTACAGAGCAGATTCATGATGAAGGATCCATGTGGCCAATTGATTTGGACACAAGACTTTGGTTTGGTACTACAAAAGGTTTCTCTGCATGAAAATTTTCTGTGAAACAATTTCATAACACTTACTCCTATGGTGTTTTTATGGCATTATAAATTATTCTTCATTAAAAAATGATAACCGGCAGGCCTAATGCTGTGTTTGGTTGAGAGATTTGGAGAGAGATTTAGAAAGAAAAAGGGAAAAGATGTGTGAAACTAGGTGAAATATAGGTATATTTTATTCACATTTCCCCAAACTTTTCTCTTTTCCTTTCCAAATCCCTCTTCAAATCCTCCAACCAAACACAACGTAAGTGTCCTAATTAGAGGTCAAAAATTTTCTGACCACTTTTAAATATGTCCAACTTTTAGATGACCCCATTCTATATGTGATTCGAAATGCTTTTTTTGTCATTGAAATTACTTATAAATTCAATGTTATTAGTTGACTATTTTTAAACTGAGCACAACCAACTAGCCAAGCCCAATAGTTACATTTCATAATCAAGTCTACAAAGGTACTCTTTGCAACAATGCAAAAGTGCTTTTTTTAAAATTAAAAAAAAAAAAACACACAAAAAAAACTGGTTTTAATTACTCTTTAGTATTTGTTTTATATTCAAGTGGGGTTTGGTAATTGCCATTTTTGGCAGTTTTATGTATATATATATATATAAGAATCTAAAAAAAGTAAAATATTTAGGAATTAATAAAAAGCTACATTTTTTTGTGTGATGCAGAAAAGTTTGTGGATCATGCCAATCATTTGCTTTTTGTTCTAAAATTACCATATTATGTGGGAGAAGATATATTTGTCTACCAAAGACGGGGTAATATAGTATTTTTATTAATGTTGCATAGATTCCAAACCAAATAGCTTTTTCATGTATAAATTGCCTTTTTCAGACTTCCCCAAACAAACTTGTAGCTTTTGAATTTTGTAATTGAAAAGCTGCTTTATTTAGGGAATTCCAAAAAGTGTGAAGTAACAAAATTCTCTAGCACAAAAAACTGTCTTAGTTGATCAGAATTGAAAACTTGTTGGGAACTTGTTAAGACACAGAAAAATATAAATAAAAAATAAAAGGGGTTAGGTTGTAATGTTATGACTAAATTTTGAAGTAGTCCCCATGTTATCTGTTATAGTCTCTAATCTCTTACAAAATTCCATTACGATCTCTAAATTATGCGATTTGTTACACTTTTGGTATAGCATGGTTCAAATTAATAGCAAGAAGGAAGGGTATTTTCAAAATTTTATATGAAATTGTAACAAAATCAAATACATGGCCGCCAAAGTATATATTTTGTTACATTTTTGTCAAAGTATGCACTTTGTTATATTTTTGACCCCTCAAACTTTTAATTTTTTTAATTTTAATTTTAATTTTTTTTTTGTGCGTAAAATTTCAAAAATAGTCTTCCACCCGTAATTGATTTTGAATGATATTGACATCAAGAATTAAAGTGCAATAGATCTCATACTTTGGATACCAGAGCAACAAAAATTAAAAGATTAAAGGTCAAAGTAACACGTCACATAATTTTTGTAGACCATATAGTGTAATTAAACCATTTCACTTTTATGTACATCATCATTGCATTACTTTCAAGAAAATATTTGAGACTTTGAAAAAATCTCTCACAATTTGATTCACAATTATAGAATTGTAATCTCTTGTGATTATAATTCAATGATGAGAGGATTGCAATCTCTCATTGTGGATCAAATGTAGACCATTAGTGTAATTAAACCTTTTGGACTATTATGTATATCACCAATGCATTACCTTAAGAAAAATGTTTGGGACTCAAAAAAAACTTCACATTATTCAATCCACAATAATGGAATTGTAAATCTCTCCAAGTATCATCCAACTATAAGTGTGATGATATTAATTTAAAATAATTGCAGAAAAACTTGACCACACTTGCTGCGGTGGCCCTCTAACGTGAACTTGGTGGAATCCGACGTGAAACACTGAAGAAAATAAAGAACTATGACTAGTGGCCAATTAGGGGACTCCCTAATGATTAAGTTAGTAAGTTTGAAAGTTATGGAGTAAGAGAGTTTTAGAGTAAAATCTTTCGTGCAATTGGTTGCCTACATTTCTCTTTAGTTGGAATCAAATATATACCCTCTTAAATTACCGTTGAAGGCGGTTAACACTTCTCCTGCCACTCCTCATGTCTGTCCCACCTTATGTAGGATTTGTATTCAACATTCATGGATTTTTAGGAGTGGTTGATTCATATATATAGGACTAAGCGTTGACCCAGTCTGATTGTTCAGACTGACGTCTACGCCCATAATCTAGTTCGGTCTACTGAGTTGACTTCCAATCTTGTTCGGAAGTGCTTGTTCTAGTTCAGTTATTATAACTAACTCCTTTTCTAGCTCAGCCGTGCTCTAGTCCTATTTGGACTCAAGAGATCTACAATTCAAATTTATGTTGCTCGGATTTACCTCTCACAATATTTTATAACTATTACATAAGTAATAGAAATCCACCATTACAAACATATAAGGGAGAGGATCAAAATCCAATAGTTTGAGCTAATCAAAACCCGATTATACTATTGACAGAAACCAACTTGCTAGATTCAAATATGACCAAAAAAAAAATAAAAAATAAATAAATAAATAAATAATTGTGTCAGACTGTTCGGATTAGATATAACAGTTTGGAGAGATATGTAATATATAGGAATAAATGGTAAGATATAATATATTTATGGGATGAATTATAGGTTCAGTTGGGAAGTAATCTTTCTAGTGTTTTTTTAATTATTAAAATATGACTTGAAAAATATTGAAATGTTTGGGAATAACTTTTGACTTTTTTTTTTTTATAAAACAATAATAATAATAAAATTACAAAGTAGGGAAAATTTTAAAAAAAAAATATCTAACTTTTTTGTATTTGTTTTTGACCATTTTAGTAACTTTGAAACCATATTAGTCTCTTCTCAAACACCACCTATATAATTGTGGAATTACTTTTACTGTAGCATATGATATAGAATGGTATAGGATAAGCAACACTAAAAAGCCTTGTTTATTTACCATATATAAGGATCCAATATAAGGGCGGGGTAAAATATATATGAGGTGTGTCTCACATTTTTTTTATCTCTTTATATTTTGTGTTTGGTTGCTCTAAATATAAGGAGTTCGGATAGTATATGATGTAAAAAGGGAGGGAGATATGTAATACCCCCATGATATCGTATATCTCATATCGTCGGATATAACTCATCTTTCATCGAAAAATAAAAAATAACCATCACTTATTCCATCTTATATCTTATCTTAACTAAATATAGTATAAGTGACCCCATATATAATTTATCTCATATTCTATAACATATTATATCACATTATTATTTTTAGGTATTATATATTCTCTTCAAACTCTTATGTCCAATTTGGACAATCAAACGGTGCCTAAGGGGTGGTAATGCATATCTCTTCTTTTGAAGTATATAATATCCAGAATTTGTATACCCGAAGCAACCAAACACCAAATGTAAGGAAACAAAAAAAATATGTAAATCTCACATCATGTTATATCCGTCCAACTCTCCATATCTTATCCGTCCGACTCCCCCATATCCTATCCTTATATCCATCAAACAAATGGGCCCTATGGAGGCTAATATGGAAAATCATAAACTATACATACATACATATATATATATATATATATAAGATAAATTATAGTAAACTTTCTTACCCTATGACTCATTTACACTTTGGTCTCATGAACTTCAAAGTTCAACAGTTAACCGCATCAAAATATTATTTTGTTATACTTAATCTCTTTCGTTAGGATTTCATTAGAGATTTACACAAAATCAAGTCATATGTGAAACACATAACACACTTTATTAATTTTTAGAACAATAATATCCTCATCTACTGAATCTGTTTACATTTTGTCAGTAAGATAAGTCAAATTATAAATAAGATCGCTTATCTGGTGAGTCTGTTTACATTTTGTCAGTAAGATAAGATAAATTATAAATAAGATCATTAGATAATAGTGACATTATCTAAAAAAATCAAGTGTATCATATGCTTCACACTTGATGAGATTTTGTATAAATCTCTAACAAAATTTCAATAGAAAGGATTAACTGTAACAAGAAAATATTTCAAGATAATTAATTATTGAGTTTTGAAGTTCAGTGGGACAAAATGCAAATAGGCTATCGTTTAAGGGACTTTATTGTAATTTACCGTAAAAGTTAAGAAAGTATTATATATAATCATTTTTTTATTATTTTATTTTCCCACTCTAAAACATAAGTCAGTAGATTTTATATTTAGGGAAAATTGGTCTAGGGTCCCTCTCCCACTTTTCATAATGGAAGAGATCCACAAAATTATTTTTTAATTGTTAAAAGGCAAGGGCTACTTTCCAGTTTGCTTTTAAACTGGATGGTCTTGTTGAGCCGTATCGGGCGATATTGTGAGTTCATTTTAATGATTCAAATTGTTGAATATATAAAATTTATTAAGAATATTATTTTTTTAAAATCATGTTAATCGAATACTGATAGTCATTTGATCATATTACATTTTTGTCATAATTTAATTTGAAAATCATACTTTTCGTTGATAGAAATGTATTTTGATTAAATAATTATTGATATCTGATCGAGGCGACTTTTTACAGGCATGATATACTTAACGAGTTCTACATATTGAACGGTTTAGATCATTGAAATAGACCTGAATTAAGGTCCACCACAGCCCAACAAGTCTGTGTAGTTCGATGACAGACGAGAGAGAAGCCATTCCTTGTTTTGTTAAAGATAAACAGATAAAATTTAGCTAAAATTTTAATCAGTGTTTGGTTTCAATTTTCTTGTTTGGTTTCAATTTTTTGAATTCAATTTTCTAAAAATTGATAGACGAGAGAGAAGCCATTCCTTGTTTGGTTTCAATTTTCTGAATTCAATTTTCTAAAAATTGAGTTTTTTGTTTTTTGTGTTTTTTTTTTAGTGAATACTTTTAAAATTTTCAACATTTTTTTTTTTCTTTTTTAGATATACAGATAAAATTTAGCTAAAATTTTAATCAGTGTTTGGTTTCAATTTTCTTGTTTGGTTTCAATTTTTTGAATTCAATTTTCTAAAAATTGATAGACGAGAGAGAAGCCATTCCTTGTTTGGTTTCAATTTTCTGAATTCAATTTTTTAAAAATTGAGTTTTTTGTTTTTTGTGTTTTTTTTTAGTGAATACTTTTAAAATTTTCAACATTTTTTTTTCTTTTTTAGATATACCTTACTTAGATGTATTTAAATAGTAAAAAATTTATAAAAAATATTTTTTAAAATGAAAAAATACACAAAAATATAAAAAATATACTGAATTTTTGTATTTTTTTTATTTAGTGAATTTTTTAAAGAATTTTTTATAAATATTATACTTTTTAAGTATATTTATGTTAGGTATTTATAAAAATTTTAAAAAATTACTTAAAATATTAAAAAAAATTCATTGAAAATAAAAAAATACAAAAAATAAAAGCATAGAAATTTTTAAAAAGTGTTTTTTAAAAATCAAAACCAAACAAGCTGTATCCTACTTGTTTGGTAGACGTGAAAATATTAGAAAAAATATTTTTTCTTCCTATTTCATATGAGAAAAAAGAGGTAGAGCTCCTTTTAAAACTTTTCTACAAAAATTATTGCATTTAAGAAAAATATCATAATGCAAGACTCCTTTCAAATATGATTATCTTTTCATTTGTTTCCAACTTTTTTCTCATCTCTCATTTTCTTTTGGTTCCTTTTCTCACGACTCACACCAACCACACAAAGCAAACATTAATGCCAGATAGAAGCCAATTGAGAGCAGATGAGCTATAATTATACATATAGGCGTTAGCTTATCGAAAGATATATAGATTAGATATATACACTTTTAATAGTACAGCTACAGTGGTACTAATAACTATAAGCTAGTAAGGTGCAGGTGGGTCAGGACCGTACATGTGGTTGAGTCAGTTGTGTTTCTGAGTGTGAGTGTGATTGTGATTGTGAAATCCAACCCATCCATCTCGAAACCACCCCTGCTTCCCCCTCTGCCTCCCTCCGCCGCCACGTCCACCGCCACTCCTGGTGGTTCTGCCGCCGCTGACGGTGGCCGTTATCATTCGTGTTCCCGAACCTACTCAGCCCCGTGATTTCCGACACGCTTCTCCCATTTATTACGCTTCTGCTACTCTGCCACTCATTATTCTGCTGCTGCTGCGGATGATTCTGCTGCTGATGTCGGCTCTCTGACGGCCGAGATCCCGAGGACGACGCCGATAATCGACGGCTGTCACTCATTACCATTTCCGACCGTAGATACAGCAGATCCGACGCCTGCAGGTCGCTCCACCTCCGGTAAAACCCTCCACCGCCGTCGCCGCCGATTATGATTCGGTGCTCCAATCGCCGCCGGTCCTCCTGCGATGTCAGTAACAGCCCATCTTTCCGACACTGTCGATCGAAGCACCCAACGGAGACAATTTCAGGCTTCTTCTTCTTCTTCCTCATGTTCCAACTATCCAGAGATCTTCTAGAAGAATCGCTCGGTCTGTGGAGGACAATTTGCAAGGAACCACCGCTAGAGCTAGAGCTACTTCCTCTCTCCCCCGCCGACGAATGCCTCCCCGAGACTCGCCGTATACTTTCCAATCTCTCATTTTCCTCGCCGCCTAGCGGCGTCGTCTGCGGCGGCGGCGGCGGCAATGGCTCGTTTGGGGCTAAAATTTTGGCAAAATCGGCGAGGAGGAGGATGTCTTCGGGGTCGACTCGGTAGCGGCAGAGAGGGCAAGTGGAATGTGCGTCGAGCCAAGTGTCGACGCATTCGACATGAAACGCGTGCTTGCATTTGGGCAACAATCTCAGGACCTCCGTGGACTCGAACCGGTTCAAGCACACTGCGCACTCGAGCCCATCCTTTTCGCCTCTCAGCGAACCGAATCGGAAAATGGGGAGTGACTCTATCACCGTGCGGTCCACGCCGGAGTTCTTCCTCGCCGTGGACGGCGGTGCCCTCCCTCTGGAACTTGCGGAGTAGTACCCATTTCTCCCCCCTTTGCAGTGCTTGGCATAGAGAAGTAACAGAAATGTAATTGAAAATACGGTGGTCAGAACCGCAACAACTACCGCAATGTTGGGCTTGAAAGACGACATGTTCGATCTCTCGTCCGCCGGAGACGGCGGCGGCGACGGCGGAGGAGAAGGGGAGGGATATGAGGAGCTGGTAATGTCGTTATCTTCCATAACTGTGGTTGTCAAATGCAATTTTCTAGCAGCATTCCCATCAGAAGAAGCTTCAATAAAGGGTGTTATGACACCTATTGCAGACAGTAGGAGAAGGGTTTTCAATAGGCCGAGGACCTTGAAAAGGCCCATCTATGGTCCCCTGTTTTGTTCTGGAAACTGTGTTGATATGAATTGAATCTCTGAAGCTTGGAACAAGAGAGCTTTGCACAGAGAGAGAGAGAGAGAGAGAGAGAGAGGAAGAATATCAGAAAATGAAGTGTGTCGGTCAAATACATTATCAATATCATTTACGACACGTTAAAATTTAAATCATCTTATCAGCAATGTTAGGTATTATGAAATTTTTTTTATAAAAGTAATTATGAAAATTTTGTAATCTTTAAATTATATTTAAAATAAAGTATCACACACTAATTAAGGTAATTTAAATATAATAAATTCTTCATGATCACTTTCATAAAAAAAAATTCATGATCCCTAACTTTTTCCTTATCTTATTCATAAACGATAGCAATTGAATTAGAAGTTGAATTAAATGTGAAATTTATGAGTTAAATAAACTATTATTATTATTATTATTTTTTATAGATAAATTATGAGTTTATAAGTTTGAATTTGATATTATTTACATGGAAATGAGCTGAAAAGAGAGAAGAGAAAATTTCATTTCGGTGTAAAATTTTTTTGAAAAATTATAAATAAATAATAAATTTTGTACAGATTAATAATTAAAAAGGTAAAGTATCAATAAATTTTAAAATGTGATTTTGTGAACTGTTTAATCATCTATTTTTTCTTAGGGAAAATTGGTCTAAGGTCCCTGTCCAACTTTTAGTATGAGGAGAGATCCACAATAATATTTTAAGGTGTCTAAGGTCCCTCAATGTTAGTTTAGTTTATAAAATACCTATTTTACCCTTTTGTATATTATACGTGGTTTTCAATTTTGGAATCTGAAGATTACGTTACTATTTTTGTGAAAGATTACTTTGGGATGAACTTGGTGATCAATGGAGATTTCGATAATGCAAATTTCGTGAAAATTTTATAGGAATTTTGTAGTCATATAGTAGTTGAGTTTCGTTGATCGTGTAGAAGTTGAAGTCGTGTTGAAGCTCGAATTTCTAGTAGAGCTGAATCAGGTAAGTTTAATAATCAGTTTAAGTTTTTTATTTTTCATTTGATTTGTATATATGGACTCCGATTTCAAATAAGTTTTTGTAGTTTATTTTGAATTAGGTTTTTATTTTCAGTTTTGATCAAAGTGATAGAAAAGCCAGCTTAGTGAATTATTTTTTGATTTTTGAAGTTGATTTTTCATTCTTTGTTATTGACAATGGAGTTGATTTTTCATTCTGTGTTACATGTTTATCAATGATAAGTTTTGTTCTTCGTGTTTGGAGACCGGCTCTGTTTTTCTTCACTGTCTTAAGTTTTGTGCTCTGTTTTTTTCATTTATTCTGCACTTTTCATTTTTCTACACTTTGCTTTGTATTCCAGAGAAAATTATATGTTCATATTCCAGAGAAAATTGTATGTTTATATTCCAGAGAAATTTCTCTGCATTCTGATTTGAGTCCAATAATGCACAATCACACAGAGAAAATTATAAGCTTGTAGTCCAGTGAAAATCACAGAGAAGCTTATAATTTGATAACTGATCTTCTGTGTGATTTTTGTCTATGATTATGTTTAATAGTTAGCATTGAATATCTCTGTGATTTTCTCTAGATTCATTAATTCTTCTGTAATTTTGTTTTTGTTATCTTGAAGGTGAATTTAAGTTTATAAATTTCTCTGGACTTTTATTTGAGTCCAGAGAACATTATAAGGTAGGTATTATAATCCAGAGAAAATTATAATTATTAGAAATTTCTCTAGACTTTTATGTTGTTCTTGTGAAGTATTTTTATATTGAACAAGTTATTTTTGGTATTTTTTGTTTCAGTTTAGATGGACAGTGCAGTGTTGTTACTGTGCAAATATAGGAATGATACTATTATCATTAATGTTTCATGCGAATTGAATTGATGATGCTATGATTTTACTTGCATTGAGTAAGAGACCAGCCAGGAGGCCAAAGAAGAACAAAATTGCTTCTACTGAAGAGTTTAAAAGGGTGATTAAATGTAATCGATGTGATAGGATGATCGCCATAATAAGAGGACATACAAGGAACCTTTGTTAAATAGTTGAGGATATTACATTTATTGATTGAATAATACATTTGAGAATTACTTTGTGTATTTTGTTTTGTGAAATGTACTTTTTGGACAGTGCATATATAATACCAATCAAATTCATCCAGAGAAATTTACTATGTGCATTGTGGCAAATTCATCTAGAGAAATTTGCCAATAGCAGAGAAAATTACAATGTGCATTGTGTTTTTTGAATTTGATGATTGTTTCGTACCAACACAGTGCATTACAAATTACATGATCATATAGGCACCTTCTTGGCACGATACGAGTTAAATTTCTCTGTGAATTTTTGGTAATTTCATACTAGTCAAATTCATCTAGAAAAATTTGCCAATAGAAGAGAAATTTACTATGGGTATTGTGTGTGTTGAAATGTGCATTGTGTCTTGTGAGGTCAAATTCATCCAAAGAAATTTGCCAATAGCGTAGAAAATTACAGTATGTATTATGTTTGTTGAAACATACTATAGGCAGTGTGTTCATAATACCAATCAAATTCAACTAGAGAAATTTGCCACTAGCACAGAAAATTCTCTGTGCATTGTGTTTGAAGCTTCAAATTCATCCAGAGAAATTTGCCAATAGCAGAAAAAATTACTGTGCGCTTTGTGTTTTTTGAATTTGATGATTCTTTTGTACCAACACAATGCATTACAGATTACATGACTATATAGGCACCCTTTTGGCACGATACGAGTTAAATTTTTTTGTGAAATTCTGGTAACTTCATACAAGAAAAATTTCTTTAGACAATTTTCTTTGCGTGGATTGTGTTGATAATCACCACTAAATATGCATTATAAAAAAAATATTTAACCATTGATAGTTATGAAATTTACATTAGTTAAAACAATATATATACATATATGTCAAAAACATCATTTCTTCAATGTACGGGAAAAAAAAATTTGAAGGGTCATTTCTAATTACATTGTGTACATTGTCTTCATTTCACTAGTATGCTTTCACTATTATACTTTTAGTTCTTCTTTTGGTGATATTTCAATTGGTTCTGTCCATGACCGGCCAATTTCGGTCGCAAATCTCTCTATGATTTTCTGTCCTCGTGAACCTTACGTCTTGTTTGGACAATGTTGAGCTGATAGGTTCATGGTTGCTATATTGTCTCATTATGTAGCAAACGAAGAGGCCACAATCCACACTGCATATAAATTATAGGTATAGTTAGTTTTAAGAAATATTCAAATTAGATTATCTTATTTATAGAGTTTCTGTTTCTTACTTGGTGTTTATGGTGTTTTGCTGCTTTTACGTTTCGTCATTTTTAGACAATGAAAACATAAAGATGTCAACATTAAATCCCAGAGAAATTTACAGACAACAAGAGAAAATGGAACATGACAAACACACACAAGGGATAAAAGTGATGTGGCCGGAGAAAATTCAAGAATGAAACAAACTAAACATATACCAGAGAAAATTACACATGGCAAGTTAGGAGAAATTACATATATGCCAGAGAAAATTAACAAGGCAAGCCAGAGAAAATATGCATTCCATAATATAAAAATCCCAGAGAAATTTACAGACAACCAAAGAAAATAGAACATGACAGACACACACAAAGGAGAAAAATGATGTGGCCATAGAAAATTCAAGTGTGGAACAAAATAAACATATCAGAGAAAATTACACATGGTAAGCCAGAAAATATTACATATATGCCAAAGAAAATTAAACAAGGCAAACTAGAGAAAATGTTCATTCCATAATATGAAAATGCCAGAGAAATTTATAGACAACCAGAGAAAATTGAACATAACAGACACACACAAATGAGAAAAGTGATGTGGCCAGAGAAAATTCAAGAATGGAACAAAATAAACATACCAGAGAAAATTACACATGGTAAGCTAGAGAAAATTAAACACGTGTGCATTCCATAATATGAAAATGCTAGATAAATTTACAAACAACTAGAGAAAATGGAACATGACAGAAGCACACAAAAGAGAAAAGTGATGTGGCCATAGAAAATTTAAGAATGTAACAAAATAAACATACCAGAGAAAATTACACATGGCAAGCCAGAGAAAATTAAACATGGCAAGCCAAAAAAAATATGAATTCCATAATATGAAAATGCCAGAGAAATTTACAGAAAACCAGAAAAAAATATGGAATAACCAGAAACAAATGGGGGAATAAACATGCCAGAGAAAATTCAAAGAAAACACATAGATCAAGCAAATACCAGAGAAATTCAAATGACAGAGAAATTTACAGACAAAATCACATAAACATCTTCAAGAATAAGTTCGAAACTTAGAGAAATACATTTTTCAAATTCATGTAGGTTTTTATTACGAAATTGAAATCCTAATTAATGGAAGGCTAGTCAACTGTGTTTCGGAGAAAAACTAGTTGGATTGGAGAAAACTTACCAGAGTGATGATGAAAACCCTAATTTCGAACTGAAATGGCTTGAGATGAAGATGCAATGAGATGAAGATGAACTGAGATGACGATGAACAATGAAAACGGGTTAGAGAAATTTGTGAGGAACGAATTGAAAAGAGTTTGGCAGAAGATAATGAAACCGTAATGGCGACAGTGAAGATGATAGTGAAACCCTAATTCTCATGTTCTCTTACTCATGAAAATGGTTGGATGTTTGGAATGAATTGAGTCGTCGGAATGCAATCGAGTTGAGCATTCTATGTTGATCTGTGAAGGGTATTTTGATCCAAAAAAAAAATTAAAAACGCGCCTGTCATTAGTGAGGGACCTGAGACATCATTCCTATTTTTGGTGTCCTTTATGCTGTAAATTACTCTTATTAGGGACCTTAAAAAAAATTCCCCTTTTTCTTATGAACCTAAAAGTCCTATTAAAGTGAAAATTACACAGAAGGCAATCACTTAGGTGCTATTTGGTAACACTTACGTTTTCAATTTTCTGTTTATATTTACAAAAATTTTAAAAACTCAAAAACTTGTTTGGTAAAATTTTTGATTTATAAATCAGTAGTCTCAGTTTATAAATTTGGCCAAAAAATAAAAATAC